ATGAGGCTCTGATTCAATTCCCAGTACTGAAAAAAAAAATAGTGTGTTTTTTTTTTTTTTTCCTTTTTTGCTAGTCTGAAATTCACATTTCACTAGGCACCCTGTATTTTTATCTGGCACCTTCACTCTTGTGCTGTGTGTGACACGTACGTACACACACCTGTGTCAGGCTGGCCATGTGTGAGAGCAGAATGATGTGTATCTGTGTAGGGCTGTGATAGGATGTCAAGGTGTCACCAGCAGGAGTGAGGAGTGAGGTGACCCTGAGTAACTATGACTCCCTGAGGCTCTAGCAGGTCCCTTGGGCATGTTTGGGCTGTTAGCTTAGTGAGGCCCAGGACAGCCAGGAGACCCACCCTAGGTAAACATTTTAGATCCGGGACCAGGTGGGGCTGGGACAAAGCTCCTGCTCCTGTACAGGACACATCCCTCTCAGGGCCAAGCCAGCCCTGAGTCCTTCAGAGTGGTCTGAGCCTTCCTGAGGGCTGATGGAACCACCTCTCCATTCTACTGCTTCCTGGTGACATCACACAAGTCACCCTGTAATCCTCTAGAACATTCCTCCCCACTCCCCATCCCCATACTGCCGAGTTTCCCTGGACAACCTGGGAATTTGCTCCACCAAACTGGCAGGCAGGGTTATCCCCTGGGGGCTGGGGAGAAGAAGGGGTCAGTGTGGGGGCCTTCTCATCTCCCAGAGGGGAGATTGAGGCAGCCATCTGTCTGTCTGGCTAGATGGTGAGTATGGGTGGGCACTTAGGAACAAGGTAAGACTTGCAGATCCCTTATTGTACAGGGGTGACACTGGCAGGGTGACAGGGATTGGGGAAGTGGGTTGCTGAGAGAAGGCAGTAACTTGCCAAGGTCAAGGGGAGGGGTGGTATAAAACTTGGGGTAGGGGAAAGGAACCTCCGGTTAGGAGCCAGGACACCTGGGTTTTTTATTTCTGCTGGTCCCTGCTAGCTGGGCCTTGGTTTCCCATCTTCGAGGGTTGGGTCAGATGACTTTAGTCTGAGGGTCTTTAGACCTGGTGCAGGGAGTTAAAGAGAGTGTTAGGGACCAGGTCAAGGGGTGATTCCAGACAAATGCCCTGTGATCCCTACTCTAACAACTGTCGGGGACAGTGAGCAGAGTCTGTGTGAATCTCTCTCAGTGACCCCCAGAGTCCCCCATTCTAGGAGTCACAGTCCTGAGGTACTAGAGGTCCCCCTAAGGAGGACTTGCCTTGTGATTCAGGGCCCTCCCACAGCTTCAGCTGCTCCCTCTGTGAGGGGCACATGTAAGGGCCAGGCTTGCTCAGTGTGCTGGGTAATGACTTCACACTCCGTGAGCTTCTCAGTTTGCTAAGCGCCTTCTCTACTCACTTTCACCTTGTGTACACACACACACACACACACACACACACACACACTGCCTCCCCATGCTGTCCTTTCTAGAGCTGGAACCTAGAGATGAGCCAGACCTGGCTCTGCTCTGGGGCTCACAGAGGTGGTTCATCTACCTCTGGTGGAAGGGCCTGGCTCTGGGGCAGGAACCTGAATGAACGCAGTAGTTATCACCCTTTACCAACCTTTCCCACTGTCTAATCTTTCATGACAATCTTACCAACCACATCAAGAAGTTGCCTTAATTTTTTTTACAGGACCCACACATTTCTGGACAGTTCCAGAAATTCCTTCCCTCCCTACCCCACCTTCTAGTTATAGTTTTGGTTACTTGTCTGGAGGTGAAACTTGTACATTTGCAACTCTTCATTGCAATTATTCTCAGAGAGTAATATTATTCCAGATGAAGAAACAGACTGTGCCATCTGCTTCTGGTCATATAGCTAGGGAAGGGTAGAGTCAGGTTTTGAACCCAGGTTCACTGCCATGCTGTGGAAAGCAGGGATGGCCTGTTCCAGGACTCTTCTCCAGAGCTGTCCTCACCTCCCGGCTTCACTCTGAGCTGTGTGCCTTTATCTCTGCTGCTCAGGGTGTGTTGAGACAGTGTGGATCTACTTTGTCATGTTCAAGAGGCTGTCAAGAGCCTCAGAGCCAGGGACACCTACATTTCCTGGGGGAGGGGAAATGGAGGTTTGCAGAGGCACATTAATGAGTAGGATGGAGTAATACCCTTCTGCCCACCCACTGGTCAACTAGCCTGGTCTGAACATGGACCCAGGGGTGAGCCTGGGACATAGTTGCCTGAGCCTATGGGGCCAGGTCACATAATTTTTCTGGTCTTAAGACTCCAAAGATTCATTCTTTTTATTTTATCTTTTAGGTGGGATGGAGTTTGAACTCAAGGCTTCATGCTTGCAAAACAGGCACTCTATTGTATTGCTTGAGCCACACCTCCAGTCCATTTTGCTCTGGTTATTTTGAAGATGGGGTCTCGTGAACTATTTCCCTGGGTTGGCCACAAATCTGGATCCTCCCAAATAGCTAGGATTACAGACATGTGCCACCAATGCCCAGAAAAAAGATTCATTCTTGGTTAATCTCTGTTTGGATGTGACTGATGGTTTGGTTCCTGCCATTTGCACCTCCCTGGATTTCTGTCCCTCAGACTGGCAGCCCTCTGGGATGAAGAGGGCCTTCTGTCAGTTTGCCCTCCCAGCCACCTCCTGCTGTCACCTCAGCCTTATCTTTTCCCCCTACTGCCTACCCTCTGTCAAGATGTGTGTTATTGGGCCCTGGAAAAGGCAGGAGCACTGGTTCAGTGTTACCATCTCTTTTTCTCATGGCTGATACCAGAGAGTACAGTTCACAAAGCAGGCTTTGGCTCTGCAGGGGTCCCCTTTGCGTCTTCCATCAGCCTGGGAGTGACTGAGGCCTGGAGAAGGCAGTGACTTACATAGAGTTGGAGTTGGAGTTGGACCAGAGGCAGACGGTAGCAGATCAGAGAATCAGAGCCTGGGCCTCCTGAGCAGAGAGCCAGCCCCCCCTGCCACCTACTCATTCCTAGACACTTCTAAAGAGTGTGGGTTTGAAGGGTGTGTGTGATTATCTGGCTCTACCTCCCACACTGCAGATGGGAGGCCTGGAGATCTAAGGTCATCACACAGGCCTCATGGGGACCTGCAACTCATTTTACAGTACTCATTATGCAGAATGCCCTTGCTGTCATGGATCCCTGTTTGCTCCTGCTCATTTTTAGATAGAGCCTGATTTACAAATATCTCAGTCCTAAGCATTTCAGGAAGAAACACCTCTATCTGTGAACCTACCCATGCTGACTACTTGTTTTTCCTCTTAGCACTTGTAAGAAAAGCTATTCTATCCCAGAGCTCTGGATGGTGAGGATAGGAGGTGCCTTTTGATGCCCTCCTCCTATAGATGGGAAACTAAGACCCAGAGAGAGAGGGCAGAGGGCACAGCAAGGAGCCCTGGGTGGAGGAGGCTGAGACCTGGCTCTGGTCAGACAGCCATAGACTCACTGACACTGGGCCATTATCAGAGTAATTGTTAGGCTCTGCCTATCCAGAGGAGCTAGCCGCAGGGCCTCCCTGTGGACCAGGGCCAGTGATAGGGACAGGCTTCCACACTCAAACTGGCCTGGCCTGGGTTCACATGGAGTAGCTGGAGGCAGATCTGGTTCTAGGATGCAGCGGGCAGGGGTGCTCCCAGGTTGGAAAGAACGCTTGTGGACAAATCTCCCCCAGGCTATAGAACTCTGGTCCTGTCTGCTTGGGAAGGGACAGGGGAGTTCCCAGAGCTCTGGGCCCCTATACTCTTGAGAACCTAGTCCAGTCCATGGGAGCTGTGTATGCACACAGGTGTGCTGAGGAGGGGTGGGTGTAGACCAGGGCCAGAGTCAGGGGCTGGAGGAGTCTTAGTTAAAGCTTTTCAGTGTGAGTGAGACTGGAGTGGAGATTTTGCCCAGGTCGGGCCAACCTGTGAACCTGGAGTGTTGGGGGTTGTCCGGGTTCGCACTCACCGCTGGGAATTGGGGTGTGTGTGTGTGTGTGTGTGTGGTCTTTGCCAGCTCTAGGTTGTTGGGGGTTGCAAACTGTGGGCATTACTGAGTTGCTGTGGGCTATCATCCCTGCAAATTGGTTTCTTGATTGTCATTGGGGGAGGGGGTGACCACTTTTTTATCTCTGAGGTGTTGTGGCTATCGCATGCCTGTGTGTAAATAGACTGTTGCAGAAGTGTGTACCCGCGAGGGTGGGAGGGGGTGGAGAGATGGGGTTCATAATTAACTTCCAGAGTCCCTCTCCAGCTCCTCGTCGTCCTTCCTCTGAGATCCCACTCTGCCTTGGCCACCGCACATCGGATCCCCAGTCCCCGCGGGAGGACAGCCCCTCCGGGGCCGGGTTCTCTCCCGGGGCGGACGGGGGCGGGCGCTAGGACCCGGCGGGGCGGGGCGGGGCGGGGCTCGGCGCTCCGTCAGCTTTACCTCCGCAGCCTGGAAAATACCGAGCGAGGCGAGCGCAGCCCGGGAGCCCTCAGCCCAGCCCGGAGGGAGGAGGGCGGGAGGGGGCGCGCGGGGCGGGGGGCGCGGGGCGGGGCCGGGCGGCGGGGACCCACTGCTCCTCCCCCCAGGGCCCCCGCGCGGCCCCCGGTCGCCCGGGCAGCGGCGGCAGCGGCGGCAGCGGAGGCGCTCGCACCCCGGCCCCGGCGGGCCCCGGCGGAGCAGCGGGCACAGGTGAGCGGCCCCGCCCGCGGCGCCCCAGCCCGCCCCCACCGCTCACCCGCGCGCATCCCGCGCCCGCGCCGCTGCCGAGTTAGTTGAACCTGTCCGGTCAGCACTGCCGTCCGTCACCTCGGGTCCCCCGGGTCCCGACGCGCTCCCGCGGGCCATCCGCACCCGTTACGCAGCCCCCGGGCCAGCCCCAGGGAAATCCGGGGTCGCTCCTTGGGGGGTGGCCCCAGTCACTGTCCTGTGCCTGCCCGCCCGCCCTGCCCCGGGGGACAAACCCCTTCCGAGCTCCAGCCGTCCACCAGTCCAGGACCCTGGGCAGCCCCACCCGCGCCCCCAGCGCACTGACTCCTGTCCCCAAACCGGTCTTGCAGGTCCCAGGAAGGTGGCGTCAGCATCTGCAGCCGCGTCGACTTTGTCGGAACCTCCACGGAGGACCCAGGAGAACCGGACTAGGACCAGGGCCCTGGGCCTCCCCACGATCCCCATGGAGAAGCCCGCGGCCTCCTCAGAGCCCCAGGGGCCTCGGCCAGTCCTGGGCCGAGAAAGTGTCCAGGTGCCCGACGACCAGGACTTCCGTAGCTTCCGGTCGGAGTGTGAGGCCGAGGTGGGCTGGAACCTGACCTACAGCAAGGCCGGTGTGTCAGTGTGGGTGCAGGCTGTGGAGATGGATCGGACTCTGCACAAGATCAAGGTAAGGTTGCCTTATTGTACCTGCTGCCTCCACTGCACCGTACTGACTCTGATCCTGCCTCAGCCGCAGATACCTGGGGGGTGCATCTGGGCCAGAGTTTCCGACTAGGAACCAGGAGGAGGCCAAGCCCCATCACACAGATGGGCCAACTGAGGCCAGCAGAGGAAATGTGACTCATCTGGCTCATTCAGCTGGAACCCAGGCATGCCCCTCTCTGCACCAGGGACCCCTCTCCCCAGAAAGCCTCCACCTTGTCCCTGACTTGAGCCACCTCAGGCGGAGACTGACCCCATTTTCTCCTTTTCTGGTTCTCTCTGCCTGAACTGGGTCTCCTGCAGGGCTTTGCACCCTTGGGTGGCAAGGATCTGATTCCTCCTGCCAGATCTCCTGCTCTTCCCTTCCCTCCCTGGCTGCTTCCCAGTCTCTGAGTCTCCAGCAGGGGCTCAGCATTGTAGCTGGCTGTTTCTGAAGGCAGGCCTTGGATGTCACTGCCTTTGCACAGGGCCAGGCTGGGGGTGAGCTTGGGGTGGAGGAGACTTGGGGTCAAGGGAAGTCAACTGAGAGGGCATTGACCTCACAGCTATCTCCCTGCTTCTGGCAGCCCCACAGTTCTCTCTCTTGGCTATGACAGGGCAGGCGCGGAGTTTGATGGGACAAAGGCTGGTGTGAAAACTCTGGTCTAGGGGCCTCAGTAGCAGGCTCTGACACATCTGTCATTGCTGTAAGTGCCACATTTTGAAGGTATCAGTCTCCCTGGAGAGGGCTCCTAGGGTAAGGCTGTGCCCCTACTCTCTTCCCCCTTCTGCTGTCCTCCCGAGGCTGGGGCGGGGGGCACATTCCTGTTGCCAGGGCCACGACACTAGATACTTTAGAGAGGTTCCCCCTCACCCCCTACCTGGAGCCTGGTCTCTGATTTAGCTCAGGCACCCTGGCCTCACACTAGGACTTGAGGTGTCTGACCTTTCCCCTTTGATCCTGTGCCTTTCTGCCTCACTTTGTCTTAATCATTTACAGCTTTGTCCATCTGCCCAGATGATCTGGCCTGCTCCTTTTGCCTTCCCCTTTCCCCTTCTATGACTTTCTGTCTGTACCCCTGCCATTTGACTCTGTTTGGGTTGACATGTGCACCTTCCCCTCTGGATGTCTGTCCAGGCCTGAGGACCCTAGGCTGGGCTGCTCCAGAGCCTGACATGTGTCTGAGCCTAAAGAGCAGAGAAGGGAGGGCAGGTGGTAGTTCCAGCTTAGTGCTGGCTGAGCTTAGGGTCCTGTTCTCCCCACAACATCCACCTACAGGACAGGGGCATTGGTTGAAGCAAGGAAAGAAAGGGGCAAAGGAACAAAGTGAATGAAGAGTGAGCAAGGAGCCTGAGTGGGACCTAAGAAAGGCTTAAGGCTGAGAGGGTACAGAGTGGGGGGTATAGCTTCCTCTTGGGGCTGGCTTTCCAGAGGGGAGAGGAGAGGAAGGTGCTCCCACCCTCGGTCAACAGGGCGGAGCTGTCTCCTCCATCTGCCTTGGTTAATGAGTAAACCCAATCCAGTTTAGGGCTGGAGTTGGCAGGTCTTGGGACCAGGCTGCCATAACAGACCCCTTGTGGCCAGCTCAGACTTGGGAGTAAAGTTGTCTTGGAAAACTGGGTTATTGTGGGCTTTTGGGCAAGGTATTACATTCTCCCTAATAGCCAGAACCACAGCCTCCTTCCCTCTCAGGTTGAGCAAAGGCTGGAGGTGCAAGCCCTGTTTTATATTCCCCTCCTCTTACCTGGGGTGCAAGTGAGGATATTGAGGCCCAGAGAGGGACAGGGGCCAGCCCAGACACAGCCAAATTCCAGGAGAGTGGGCTTAGAGCCCAGATATGTTAGCCTTCTAGTCTCACCCCATCTCTTACTTTCTTCCCCATATTGCCCCAGCTTTGTTCCACACAGTGCAGGAGGTGGCAGAGTCTGGGCTCTGGGAAGAGGCTGACACCTTGGTTATGGGCATCACCAGGGTCCAGCTCCCCAAGTCAGGCCTCTTAATATAGCAGATAGAATTCTGGGAGATGGGCTGAGGCCTCTGAGCTTCCTGTCCCCAAGATTCCAGGACTCCCAGGTTGCTATGCAGCTAATCCTATTGTGATCAGAGCCCTTGCTCTGAGTCAAACCTTTTCTCTTTATCATCTACTTTACCCTCAGGCCAGTCCTGGGCAGTAGTAGACTTTCTCCAGGTTACAAAGAAATTGAGGCTGAGAGAAGTAATGACACTTGCCAAAGGTCATACAGTAGTCAAGGCAAGAAATGGAACCCAGGCCAGCTTGGCTTCAGAGCCCCTGTCCTTCTGTGCATGGCTCACATCCTTAGGCAATACTGTGGCCTTTAACCTCATCAATAACTCTTTGAAGGACTCCATGTTCTCATCACCCCATTCTTTGATGAATGACAAAGCTGAGGCCCACAAAGGGGAGTGGCTTTCCAAGGTCATACAGCAGGTTGAAGCCAGTCTCAGGGATGATTGGGTCATTCCAGGAGAGACTGGGACTCAACTGCAGGTGTCTGCTGAGTTTCTGCCCACCTCCCCTTCTCTTCTACCCTAGGAAATGCCTTATGCTCATGATTGGGGTGAGGGGGGCCCAGCTACCTATTTACCTGATTGATTTCTTCCTCCTCTTCTCCTTACCCCTGTGTCCAGAGGTTCATGGAAGCCACCATGGCTCTGGGCCTAGCAGAGCCAAGACAAAAGAAAGGGGCTGTTGGTGGTCATCTCCACCTTTTCCCTCCCTCCTGGCTTTCAGCCTGGCCTGGCTGCAGGCCTGTACTGTGCTCTGGGTACTGTACAGGAGGCAGACATGGGCTCCTGATAGTCCAGGCCTTTTGCCAAGGCAAATGCTTGTATATGGATTCTGAGTATGAGGCAGAGGGCAGCTTGGAACCTGAATCCAAGTCTCCCAAAGTCCAGGACTGCTTCCTCACAGTGTCCTTGGTGGTGTGAGACATGGGAAATGTGAAGGTTGTCAGCCATTTAGCCAGGGCCAGTTGGGCTGTGGTGTCCTTTTGCTGTATGTGACCTTGGGTACATCCCTGCTCCACTCTGGGCTGTTTGTTTACCCGCCATTGGGCCCTCCTGACTCCAAAGACCTCTGAACTCAGTGCCTGGGCCAGGGCATGAGAGAGATGAGGAGTAGGGTGACAGACACCAGATGACCTGGCCTGTCTACCCCTGCCCTGCGTACCATATGCTCAGGTCTCCTGAAGTTTACTGCATGCCCAGGCTTGTATGTGACTAGCCATGTGAAACACAGAGAATACCTAGACCATTCCTCAGGTTTTCAGACCCTGGTAATTCCAGGTGACCCCTGCCTGCTGTACAGGCCACAGGTTCACAGGTAGATTCACAGGTTCACAGAGGTAGGGATAAGCCTGTTAGGAGCCAGAGCCCACAACAGGAGCAGGATGGATGGGCAGGGGCTTTGAGGGGCTTGGGTATAGAACAGGTGTAGGAGTTCTCTTGGGGAGTATGACTGAGAACCTGAGGTTCCTCTTGCCACAGGAAGCTGGGCAGTGGGGACCTGTCTCCACTGACTTCCGGTCCTACAGCCCCTCCTCTTCCCCTTTGAAGGAAGCTCTAGCTGCCCTGTCCCAGCCATGCCTCACTGTCCACCTGCCCTATACCACAGGTCTCCTGCATTCTGTGCTCTTAAGACAACACTCTGAGGCAGGTAGAGTGGCTCAAGTGGTAGAACATCTCCCTTGCAAGTGTGAGGCCCTGAGTTTAAAGCTCAGTGCCAGCAGAAAAAAAAAAAAAAGACAGCATTCAGGTCTTACTCTCCGCTCCCCTTCCCCACCCCCAGCCCCTCATTCTCTCCCCCATAGCATTCTTGGGGATGTCCCAGGACTCTCTTAACAGTCTGTATGACTCAGAAGTCCTGTGGGGTAATCTCATGGAGCAGATGTGAAAACTGAGGTTCAGAGCAGGAACCTTTCATTTGTGAAAGGCCAAGTAGCTACACCCTGGATCAGAACCAAGGTCCTTGGGTCACCAAGGCTGAACTCTCTCCACTCCTTGGCCTAGTTATTAGTATGGGTGGGTCCTTCCATCTCTAGGATCCCAGGTAGTCTCACTCTCTGTCCTTGGGTCTCCCTGTGCTGTATCATTGTGGGAGGTATCCTGAGGGGACCCAGCTGGCAAGAGCCCAGTCTTCACTATGTGACTTTGGGGGTCACTTCTCCTTTCAGGATCTGTTTTCTTATCTGTGGTAGGAGATAAGGGGTGGGAGTTAGTCTGGTGTTTTGGCTTTGAACTAGGTGAGTTCAGGTCCTGGCTTGGCCTTTACCCCACTCTGAGGCTCATTTTCCCCATCTCTACAAGAAGTTGCTGGGCAGGTGATTTCTGGAGGCTGTCTGAACCTTAGGCCAGGATAAGGGGGGACTGTACTGCTGAACACAGGGTAAGGATGGACAGCTAAGGCCTTGCCAGTCTGTGCCAGCAAAGAGGTCCCTGGGTGAGGACTCTGAATCCAGGGTTAGATCTGAGGATCCCTGCCCTGGCTCTGGCTCTGACTTGGCATGGAGGCAGTTGGAAAAAGATGTTCTAGAACTGGCATGGGGGACCAGGCTCCCAAAGAGCATGCTCCAGATAGTTAGTGTCCAGACTTTGGCATTGGAACTCAGAGAAGGGAGGGTCGGAGGTGGCTGGGAATGTTAGGGAAGCCTTCCTGGCAGGTGCCTGGTTGAATTGAGGATATAGGGAAAGTAGCACAGGATCCAGAGTCCTTACCATGTGGCCCTGGCCAACCTGCCCTTGCCTAGGCTTTCAGCTCCCTCATCTGTTATATGTGAGCAGTAGTGCTGCCAGGCCTGTCTTCTGGGACTTCTGGGACTTTTCATTTGCTCATTTAGTGACCATCCCCTGATAACCTCTCTCTGCCTTTCCCTGTGCTGGAGGTGGGGGATAGTTGGGACTCGTACCCTACCCTCAAAGGGCTCCAAGTTGGGTGCTGAGACAGACACTTGTTACAGGAAACCTAG